GTATATATCAATCCTAAACTTTCAAGCTAACCTCCTCCTGACACTATCCTCCCTGGTATCCATAAGTTCATTCTCTGTGTGTCTGTTTTGTAAATAAGTTCATTGTTTTAGATGTCACAAAGAAGTGATATCCGGTGACGTTTGTCTTTCTCTGACTCTTCTTCATCTGAAATTTTTTCGCGATTGTGAGTGGAAACTTTGCACACACACACTCTCTCTGTTTCTCTCTCTTGCTCCGTTTCCAATCCAAGGACCACACATGTACACAAGGATAATGTGTGTAAAGGTCACGGTGGTATTTGTTGGGGAGGGGGACTTGTTCTGCCTGAAAAGGTGGACAACCTTGCTTACTACATACTCAAATGAACACAAAATATGTCAAGTAGAGACTTTCAAGCTCCAGAATGCTTGAGTGAGGGGCATATCTCCAATCAACTCCAAACAGGGACAAAATGACCCAGCTGTTTCAGGACTCCAAGGGCCGACATACACCCAGTTCAGCTGTTGTTCACAGACAGGAAAGAACCTCAGTAAGGGCAGTGATTCCACACCACTTGGCTGAGGGTGGGGGTTGTTAACATTAGTGATGCACCCTAAGTAATAAATTTGGTCTCCTCTTGATCATTCTGTATGTAATGGAGTAAGAGTCCAGTCACCCTTCTTAAAATTTCCGTTTATTTACTTAATATCATGTTTCAGAATTGATCTGTGTTCTTTGTCATTTCAGTTTGTGCATTTTTACTTCCAAGTAATGTTTCATTGCAGGTATATAAACCACAGATTTTTAAAAGGTAAGAAAAATTTTGGAGTATAGTTTATGTCTCCTGTACAGAAAATTGAGGTAAGCCAGAAAGATAAAGACCATTACAGTATACTAACACATATATATGGAATTTAGAAAGATGGAAACAATAACCCTATATGCAAAACAGGAAAAGAGACACAGATGTATAGAACAGACTTTTGGACTCTGTGGGAGAAGGCGAAGGTGGGATGTTTCAAGAGAACAGCATCAAAACACGTATATTATCTAGGGTGAAACAGATCACCAGCCCAGGTGGGGTGCATGAGACAAGTGCTCGGACCTGGTGCACTGGGAAGACCCAGAGGGATCGGGTGGAGAGGGAGGTGGGAGGGGGGATCGGGATGGGGAATACATGTATATCCATGGCTGATTCATGTCAATGTATGACAAAAACCACTACAATATTGTAAAGTAATTAGCCTCCAACTAATAAAAAAAATAAATTAAAAAAAAAAACGAAAATTGATACAGCTCGACATATATATTCTTTTCCATTATGATTTATGGCAAGATACTGAATAGAAGTCCCTGTGCCATGCTGTAGGACCTCAGTGTTAATCCATTTTATGTATAAATAGATTTCATCTGCCAATCCGAAGCTCCCAATCCTTCCCTCCCCCTTGGCAACCACAAGCCTGTTCTCTATGTCTGTGAGTCTGTTCCTGTTTCATTGATATGCTCCTTTTAGAGTCCACATATGGATGATATCACATGATAATTGTCTTTCTCTTTCTGTCTTACTTTACTTACTATGTTAACCTCCAGGTCCATCCATGCTGCTGCAAATCTCATGACTTCATTTTATAAATGTCTGAGTAGTATTCCATTGTGTGTGTGTTTAGGCATATACAACGTCTTCTTTATCCATTCATCTGTCGATGGACATTTAGGCTGTTCCCATGTCTTGACTATTTCAAGTTGTGCTGCTATGAACGCAGGGGTGCATGAATCTTTTCAAGGTACAGTTTTGTCATAGATATACATTCGGAATTGAAATTGTTGGATCCCACGGAAACTCAGTTGTTAGTTTTTTGAGGAACCTCCATACTGTTTTCCACAGTGGCTGCACCAGTTTACACTCCCCCAACAGTGTAAGAGGGTTTCCCTCTTCTCCACATGCTCTCCAGCATCTATTTTTCATCAACTGTTTAATGATGGCCATTCTGATTGGTACGAGATGTACCTCATTGCAGTGTCAAATGGCCTTTCTCTACTAATTAGCAATGCTGAGCATCTTTCCATATGCCTGTTGGCCATCTGTGTATCTTCTTTTAAACCACAGATATCAATTGTGAGAGTGATGTCTTTGGTTTTTGTCTAAAATGAACGACACCTCTGCTAAAACTTCATGAATGTGCTCTGAGTCCAACCTCACATTTCTTGTCATGGGACAGAGTGATGAGGTCTTCAGGAAAGGAATAGTGACTTTATTTGGAAAGCCAGCAGATCAACAAGATGGTGAACTCGTTCCCCAAAGAATCATCTTATCTGAGTTAGATAGGCTTTTTTGGGCGAGAGCGATGGTAAGTGTTTACTGAATATAAAATAACCATAGCCCATGGGGAAGAGGAGAAGGCAATGGCACCCCACTCCAGTACTCTTGCCTGGAGAATGCCATGGCCGGAGGAGCCTGGTAGGCTGCAGTCCATGGGGTCGCACAGAGTCAGACACAACTGATGAAGTTAGCAGCAACAGCAGGTTGTGGAAGAAAATTCCAAGGAGAAGAGAGAACTGTACAGGTTCAATACCCACCTGTGAACTCACACTTTCACACTTACACACACAGACACATTCTAAAAAAGGAGGAGGTGTAGTTGGTTGTTGCAATGCATTAATTAATTAATTAATGGCTGTACTGGGCACACGTTTTCTCTAGTTGCGGGAAGGGGGGGGGCTGCTCTTTGCTGTGTGCAGGGCCTTCTCATCGCCGTAGCTTCTCTTGCTGTGGAGCACCCACTCTAGGCACATGGGCTTGTGGCCCACGGGCTTAACTGCCCCGAGGCAAGTGGAATCTTCCCAGTCCTGGGATCAGGCCCTTGTCCCCTGCATTGGCAGGCAGATTCCCAACCACTGGACCACCAGGGAAGTCCTGTTACAAGTCCCTCCCCCCCTTAATTTATTTACTTTTAATTTAAGGACAACTACAATTTTGTTAGTTTCTCTCATACATCAACATGGATCAGTCACAGCTTACGTCCCCTCCACTGTGGAAAACTTTTAATCTTGGAATCCTTTGTTCTCGAAGCTGTCCACGCAGGTCTGGTCATACTGTCCCTTTAAGCCCCCAACAAGACAGAATGTTCTGTCTGCTCTGCCACTTTTTATCTCTTTACAAATGGGCAAGTGTTATACCTTTCAAGTTCATAGACTTGAGAATAGTCTTTGTCCCTGAGTCATGTGTGACTCTTTGTGATCCCACAGGCTGCAGCCCGCCAGGTTCCTCTGTCCATGGGGATTCTCTAGGCAAGAATACTGGGGTGGGTTGCCATCTACTTCTTCAGGAGACCTTTCCAACCCAGGGATCGAGCTCAAGTCTCCCACATTGCAGGCAGATTCTTTATCATCTGAGTCACCAGAGAAGCCCACCAGTAGAAAATGTGATTCAATATTTCCTCCCACAATTAATGTTGCCACTGTTTTCCATTTCTGTTTTCCAGACTGAGTTTGTTCTCTCAGTCTGCAAGTCTGCTTCTGTCTTATAAATAAGTTCACCCTTGTAAACTATTACTGAACAGAGGTTTTTTTAAAATTGGCTTTATTTTATTTTAAGCTGAATAATTTGAAGGCTCAACTTGCAAATTTTTATGCTTTATTGGAATTCTTGAAAAAGTAGGATGATCATGGTAACCTACCCAGTATGTGCAATTGATTAGAATAACTTCTCCTGAAATGTTAGATAGTCAAAATAGAACGTTAGTATATTCAGGGGATTACTAAGAGGTGGTGGGACATTTGAAGACAATCCTATAATTCTTGGACTCCACTGTTCACCTCAGAGGTGCTGGGCTGCTTTGGAGGAGGAGGAGTGTCCACGGAAGAACCCTTTAAAAAGAGATCTAGCTCTTCAATTTATAACACTCTCTGTGGCCAAAGATGGGGCCAAGTCAGGGCTCAGCATGGTCTTGGTTTACATCGAATTCCTCAAAGACACTGGGCTCAGCAGAGGGGTGCATGGGGCTCAGGGGAGCGGGAGTGAACAGTCTCTCAGAGAGGCTCCTGTGGTTCAAGTGGGCGAATATCACATCTTCTGCTGCAGGGTCCTGAGAGGAAGGAGGTGTGAATGATGGAATGAGATGCAATCTTTGAAGGCTGGGGCATTGGGCATTGTAGGGGCTCAGGCTATGGCAAGGGTTTGGGCAGGGAGGACTCACCTCACCACTCACTGTTTGATCTTCCTGGGGCTCTCCTTCCATGACGGCAACATCTGCAAATGGAAGAGAGTCAAGGCTTGTGGTGGGGGTGGGGGGTTCTTCTAGACCTCCATATCTTTGGTGGGCACATCAAAGCCAAAAAAAGCAGGGGTGTGCATCAGGTTGCTTAGCCTGTATAATCCATTTAAAAACAACAACAACAAAAAAAAACCCATTCCTTATACAAGCCCAGCCTCTGATGGACTCTCTTAGGAACCTGTGCAAACCCACGAAGCCCATTCTACATCTTCTGTTATGGACCATCCTCTAATGCATATCAGGAGGTTTGCAAGATCATAAAGGGGAGAAGAGCAGATGGCTCTGACTGGAGGGAAGATCAGGGCTTGGAACGTCCCTGGTGGCCGGGGATAAACCGTCCTCCTTCCCATGCAGGGAGTGTGGGTTCTGCCCCTTGTGGGAGAACCAAGACCCCACGTGCTGTGAAGCAGCTAAGCCCCACAGGCTGCAACTGCTGAGACCATGGGCTCTGGAGCCTTGAACCGCACCCCAGCACCACAAGTAAGATCCCCCATCCTGCTGCCAAGACCTGCTGCAGCCAGAAATAATGAACACATATTTTCGTAAAAAGAACAGGGTTCCATGGTTCTCTGCAAGATATTCCCTCAGGGAATACAACAACGGAAATCAGTTCTTAACCTACAGGAAGTGACAACACCATGCTCTGCTCTGAGCCCACCTCCCCCTGGGTCAGATGACACTGTTCTTCCCTCTTTCAGACTTAATGATTCTGGGTAGAACACCAGTGACAGTTTGGCTCTGCACACTTAGTTTTTGGGTAACCAGTGACAGACCAGAACAGCGAGGAAGAGGCTGGTATAGATGAAGGCCACAGAGAGCCTAAGGAGAAGGTGCAGCTGGCTGGAGTGGCCTTGAGGAAGCCGTGCTTCTGCCAACAAGCAAACGGGAGAAGTTCTGGTTATTCATTGCATACACCCTGCCCCTACACACAGGATTTATTGTATGCTTGTGTCAGAGTGTGTCAGCATCTCTCAACCTGATCAGTTATGGTCTCCACTTCCCAGGAGGCACCAAAGCATCCAGGAGAGATGCTAGCAGTGGATAAAGTAAAGAGCCTGTGCAAGACCAGCAGGGGTGTGAACCAAGGTCCCTCGGGCACTGATGCAGTTTTTCTCTGGTCCCCCTCATCAAGGCATGGTGTTTATGCATGATTGGAGACCCCTTTAATCCTCAATATGATTACCCCTCCATCCACATATACCTGGAATGGAATTCTCAAGAGGACACGACGCTTCTATTTCTGAACAGTGGAATGTTTATTTCATAAAACAATAGGGAAAGAATAGCACATATTAAAGTGCTCCCTACAATTCTCCTGTTCTCCCCCACCGCCACCATCCTTCCCCAAAGATCCTGGTGGAGGGAAGGTAAGCATCTCCCTTAAGCATGGGGTCAGGTCACTCAGACCCACTCTGTCCGATTTAGAAATTCCCAGTCCCAGACCATGAGAAACTCAATGCCCGCTTTGGTTCTAATACAGACCATGATCTCAAATGCTGACATGACAGGAACGTTGAGGAGCCCAAAATCACAGAAATGGGAGGTGGTAGAACCAAGACTCACACAGGAACCCTCTGTCTTCTCAGATACTTGCTGAGATAGGAGACAGTCTTGCTTACCTTCTGTGGTGTGTGGATCCATGGATGATGGGCAAGTACTTGTAGTGGATTCTAGGAGAAAGTAGACAGAAGGGGTGAGCAAGTAACATACCTCGCCCCATGAGTGAGGACTATTCTTTTTGGAAATTTGACCTCCTGCCTGTCTTTTGACTCTGTCATCCCCCAGAGCACTGATGGGCATGGGGAGAGCTTCTGGTCCCTCCCCATGAATGCATTGAGTAGACCCTCCATCCTGAAGAAATGATGGTGGAAGGAGGCAGGAAGGATATGCCTGGTGGTGAAAGAAAGCTATAAGCAAGAGACATTATTTCTGCTCCAGGAATGAATATCTATGCTCCTCAATTGGGAAACCACCTGTATGTCAGAGGTGTTTTTGGAAAACACTAAGAGCAAGGGGCCGATGCAATCTCTGATCTTCCCAAAGCAGCCCAGCCTCTCCTCCTCCTGGGTCTACCCTGATCCTTTTCTTTATCTGCCTTGATAGACAGGGGTCTGATGTGGAGCATCCATACAGGAGGTGGAAGAGGGTTGAGATGCCATCGACCATCTCTCTTTCTCTCTGGTTGCCACTGCCTCCATTTCTGCAGAAGCCCTAAGGTCCCCTGACACCAGCACAGGGCCCTTGAGATAGAGCTCATGAAATAGTAAGATGTCATGGAAAAGCCAAATGGACTTATTGCACAGCGCAATCTCATTTACTATATTGTAAAGCATGGGACTCTTCATGGGTTCTTGATGCAAGGTTCCTGGAGTGGGTAGCCATTTCCTCCTCCAGGAGACCACATTTTGTCAGGACACTTCACTATGACCATCAGGCTTGAGTGGCCCTGCACGACATGGCTCATAGCTTCATTGAGTTACACAAGCCCCTTCATCACGAAAAGGCTGTGATCCACGAAGGGGAGATAGTGAAGGACAGGGGAGTCTGTTGTGCTGCAGCCCACGGGATCACAAAGTGTTGGACACAACATAGCGATGGGAGAGCAAAAAGAAAGCTGGGCCAGGAGGAGGGTCCTCACCTGTGACAGACAGGAGCAGGGGGTCGCTGGGGTCTGACCATGCATAGGGAGATCGAGTGAAGGAGCCGTAGCACCTGTAGGTCCCGCTGTGGTCTGGGGTCCCAGGACCCAGAGGGAACGCTGCCTGGAGTGCTCCGCGGGGGCCCTGCCTTCCAGCGAGCAGGCTCCCAAGGTTCTCCCCCTCCCTGAGCAGATGGAACTGGTCAAAGGCATGCTCGGAGCTGCAGAGCAAGGTCACATTCTCTCCTGACCTCACCACGGGCCCTCCCTGGGCTGAGAGAGAGGGTTCCTTGGACAGACCTGGAAGGAAGACTTGATCTTAGGGCACAAAGTAACTCTAGCCCTAAATAGAAGACTAAAGCCCGAAGTGTGCAACAAGAGAGGCACTGCAATGAGAAGTCCGCCCACCACCAGTAGAGAAAGCCCCACAGCCACACATACCCAGCACAGGGGAAAATTCAAACTTAACTTTAATAATGGAGTGTCACTTAATATCCTTTCTTGAAAAAAGATATATATGTATATGAAGAACTGAGTCACTCTAATGTACAAGAGGAATTAACATCTTAAATCGACTAGAATTCAAGAAAAAAAGAAAAAAGAAAATTTAAAAATCAACCAGATTGGGCTGCTCTTGAAAAACGGTACCTACTAACTACTGCTGGTACCATCAGAAAACATGGTGTTGACCCAGAAGCAGACATTATGTGGTGGAAATTTCCAGAATCTCACGGGATCTTTGACCACCTCATTCTTGAGGGAGTGTTCAGTGCTGCCCTGCCCACCCCCAGGGGTGGAAGGGACTCCTTAGTGGGGAGGGTTGGCAGGGACAACTCCTTCCTCTTTGTGCAGAAAGACGCGTTAAACCACGAGGCTGAGCAACTTCAGGGTGTCAACCTCCATCTGGATTACCCAGGGGCCAGACTGCAAGGGCATCTGGTACCACAGCACTCTAGACAGAGGAAGGGAGCTCTGACATGAAGGCGGGAAGCCAGCCCCTTAACCAACCAAAACTGGCTGCCTGAGCCGGGAACTGCCCCCGGGTCCCTGCTCTGGTGCATCGTCCTCCATCACTCGTTCTTTCACGTTCTTGCCGCTTCACTCTGTCACCAGCCGTGTCTTCTCTTTACCACATGGCAGGTGCTCTGTTCTCTTTCCCTTCCGTGTTCACACCTCCTCTCTCTCTGGTTTGTTCCCTCTCCCGAGTGTGTGAGCATCTCTGCACGCCTGTCATTGTCTCCCGGTACTGATGCTGGACTGGACACCAGACCTTCTCTGACACAGACAGCAGAGGGGACTGGTCTGGGCACACTCACCTGTCATGACGATGTCCACGGGGTCGCTGGGGGCTGACCACTCATAGGGGGAGTGGCTGAGAGAGCCGTAGCATCGGTAGGTGCCCGCACTCCCTGAGGTCATGGGGCCAATGAGGAAGTCAGCTGAGGCATGCCCGCCCATGAACGTCTCTTCACGTGTCTGGAAATGCCCTGTGCTGTTTTCCTGGTGCAGGATAAACTTGTCAAACAACAGCGGTGAGTGACAGCGAAGGGTCACATTCCCTCCCGCCTTCATGAGGGGGCCTGGGTGGGCTGAGATGGCGGGTTTTGTGAAAACACCTAGGAGCAAAGACTTTGTGAGCTTCAGTGAGTCACCCTGCCTCGGCACTTCCCCTGACATCTGAAGGTGTGAAACTATCCCCATGAACCACCAAAGCCAATTACCCTTCCTGTGTGTTCTGTTGCATTTTCTTTAGGCTTGTTCTCAGGCTCTGGCTCATGCTTTTCTCTTTCTCTTTGCTCAAGACCTCCAGCCTCCTCTGTTTTATTCTAAGCTCTTTAGCTATTGGATCTGCTCTCAGCTTCCTGCATGCATACTCAGTTGCTTCAGTCATGTTTGACTCTATACAATCCCGTGGACTGTAGCCCACCAGGCTCCTCTGTCCATGAGATTCTCCAGGCGACAATACTGGAGTGGGTTGCCATGCTCTCAGCTTCATTCCATCCCTAGTTTGCATTTGAGGGGCTCAGTGGGTTCTGAGAATGCATACCCTGTCTCCCTTCACATACATCTCCTATAACGTCGGTGATGACTGTCATCATTAGAAAGCAGTGGAGAAAAATGGAACATTTCCCATCTGTGACACCACCTCATGGCTCTGGGACACTTCCCAGGAACCCAGCTCCTTCACAGGAGACCTTAGTTCCCCGCTGGGTGGCAGGTGCTGGATCAGGGTCGTTCCCATCCTCCCTACTGGCAGGCAGTGACCGCATTCTGTCTAACTCATGCTGAGGGGGGCTCCTCCTTCCTGCACTGGGGCGCCCCATCCCTCTATTCAAACCCTGAGTTTAAACTCTCAGACTGGGTACTCTTTCTTTGGCTCACTCCTGGCTGGGAACCCTGCGTAAGCCTTGGGTGCACTGGCATGTGGGCCTAAGGTAGGATTGCCGGCAGGCTCGGCCATCGCAGGCTGGGCTGGACCCCTCCTACCTGTGACCACAATCTGCAGGGGGTCACTGTGTGTGTACGAGTAGGCTCCAGAACACATGTAGGACCCGGCATGTTCTCTGGTCACTGGGCCAATGGTGAAGGGGTTGAAATGATATCCCTGGGCCTTGGAAAAACTGGTCCTGTCTCTTTTGTACAGTCTGAATATCTTAAGTGGAGAATCAGAGTGACATCGAAGAGTCACAGTCTGTCCTAAGGCAACCACAGGACTTGGCCAGGCTGACAAAGATGGCTTGTCATATTCACCTAGGACAGAAGGAGGCACAGGCTTTGAGAGGCAAATAAGAACAGTCTCCTCTCCCCCCTGCCCCCATGGGCACTTCCCTTTAATTCTTCCAACTCTTCTCCCGTAAACTGCATTACCTTGATGCTCAACGACACCTGGGGTTTGGGGACAGACAGAGACACAGTCGACCCAGGGTGGACATCATGGAGATTCTAAGAATGTGATTCTCAGAAGCGATTCTTCTCAGGAGAAGAATCATTCCTTGGGTTGACAAAATTTTGAGAGACTTTCTCTCAAAACACAAAACACTGGGGATTCCCTGGTGGTCCAGTGATTAGGACTCACCAATTTCTCGACCAGGGCCCAGGTTCATCCCTGATCATGGAACTAAGATTCTGCAAGCTGCACGATGCAGGCTAAAGAAAACACCACAGAGAAATTGATGCATGGAAAAGAAGTGAAAGAACTTCCCTGTTGGATTTGTTATAGCTCAAACAGTACAAAATCATCCTGCAATGCAGGAGAGCAGGGTACAATCCCTGAGCTGGCAAGATCCCCTGAGCAAGAGAATGGCATTCCCACTCCAATATTCTTGCCTGGAGAATCCCATGGACAGAGGAGCCTGGTGAGCTCCAGATCATGGGGTCGCAAAGAGTCAGACACAATTGAGCGACTAACAGTAACAGAACTAACAAGTGAAAAAGCCACTGGACTGAAAAGAAGGAAGGAAACCATGAACCTCACTCTTTTGTTAGCTAGCCTCCATCAAATGTGGGACCAGGTCCAGGTGGCCCTGCCTGATGCCCAGCCCCTCCCCTGGGGTCAGGTCTAGCGGGCGGTCCTGCAGATCGCCCTTTGTTAAGGGCCGGTTGGAGAGGCCATGAGCCACCTACTCTGAGAGGGGTCCGTGGGGTGAGGCCTCTTGCTCCCCTCTCATGATAGAAATGGCACTCAGGGCACCTGGGATCCACAGGGCACGCGGCTCTCACTGTACTGACAGGGGTCTCACCCTGCCCCCCCCCCCCAAGTGTCATCTGCCTCAGCCCCGCCTGCTCTGCTGAGCACAGAAACAAGGGATGGGGAGGACTCACCCACAGCTGCCCAGATCCTCAGACTCACACAGAATCCTAGAAGGAAAACCTCATCAGAGATGGCTCATCCCGATGGACCCCACGCTCCTTGCACCCTCATCCAGGGAACCTGGTCAGTGGCGTGAAGACCCCCGATTTCCACCATAAACCTCTCCTACCGGGTCTTTCCTGACTCACCGAGACTCAGGAGGCTGAGGAGTGTGGGCCACATAGCTCTGCTTCTGTGAGTCAGGAGGCAGGACTGAGCAAAGCTGACCGAGTCACAGGATGCGGAAGGCGGGCGGTGTTGTTCATACAGTCACCCTGGTGCAGGTCACAGGGGAAGATGGCCAGCCTCTTCTCACACCAGGGATGGAAGTCTGACCTCAACCTCCTCACTGAGCACGCCTCATGACCTGGGCATCACTTTTTGTTTCCCTAAACACCGAGGATTTGAACAGATCTTGCTGCCTTTAGGAAGTAGTAACGGTGATTCAGTGTATAGCATGTAAGATGCTTTTCCTAAGCTCATGATAAATGTCATTAACCTTAACTTTTTGCAGAAGAGAAATCACATGTTCCCACCTCGTATCTAAGGCTAAGTGCAGATGCCAATTAAACACTCATTAATAGAGACTTTGATTCTGCATTCTTATGAGAGAAGGAGACATGCATATTATGGCTTTTAGAAAATTTAAAAAAAATTCTATAGTGGAGCATATGTGATTAAGAAACTCACTGTTAGTTTCAGGGTACAACAAGGTGATTCAATTATACACACACATGTATCTACTGCTTTCCAAATTCTTTTCCCACTTAGCTAGTCATGGAATATTAAGCAGAGTTCCCTGTGCTATCCAGTAGGTCCTTGTTGGTCATCCATTCTAAATATAGCCGTGGGTATATGTCAAACCCAAACTGCCAATCTATCCCTCCCCCCATCCACCATCCCACCTGGTAACCGTAAGGTCATTCTCTGTGAATCTGTTTTGTAAATAAGTTCATTTTATTAGATGTCACCAATAAGCAATATCATGTGATATTTGTCTTCCCCTGACTCTTCTTCTTTATCTGAAAATGTTTCTTAACTATGAGTGGAAACTTTGCACACATACACTGCCTCTGTCTCTCTCTCTTGCCTCCTTTCCAATCCAAGGACCACACGTGTACAGAAAGAAAATGTGTGTAAGATGAGTGTGGGGGGCTTTGGGGGAAAAGAAAATTGTTTTGCTAGGAAAGGTGGACAACCTTGCTTACTACATAAAAATGTGTAAGGTAGAGACTTCCAAAGTCCAGAATGCTTGAGTGAGCAGGGTGTCCACAAGAATCAACTGCAAAGCAGGAAAAAATGGCCAGCCGTTTCAGGTCTCTAAGGGCAGACATACACCCGGTTCTGCTTTTGTTCACAGACAGGAAATAACCTCAGTAAGGGCAGTGATTCCACACCATGTTGCTGGGAGTGGGTTGTTAACGTTAGTGATGCTCCCTAAGTAATAAAT